GGGAGTCCTGAAGCTGAAGTGGCCACTGGAAGAATCCTGGGTCTCCTAGAAACTGACCTGCCTGGTCTTTCTGTTGTGCTCAGGCACTGGGTGGGAAGTGTGGCCTCATGGGATGATGAATTTTGGAATGCAGGACTTAGGGATCTTGGTCAATTACACCCTTTATAGTAAGAAATCTCTAAGGTATGTCACCCTTTGTTTTTCATGTAACCCCCTCCCCTGGTCCCTCCTGGAAGAATAAACTGATGGTTTTAAACTCTAACATTTTGCTGAAGTCTGAAGCTGCAAGCACATCAAAGCATGTATACATCCACAAAAGTAAAAGATAAAACAATTTGCAAAGCAATGATGCATCTATAAGTTGACTTCATAAGAAAAACATTGAGATAAACATATACAATGACACAAAAATATAAGCACACAAAAAATAGTACACACAGGTATATAAGATGTAAAAGAAGCCAATTATCTTTTTGTTCATGCTTCAAAGATACAAATAAACAAGACATAGGAAGTCTATACTTTTCTGAGTGGGAGGAGAGAAAGGAAAATGCATTTATCAGGAAATTAGTTTTGTGCCAGGCACTGTGGTAGGTGGTTTCATGTATGTTAACTTAAAATGTATTGTACTACTTCTGTCCTTTATTGAATACTTGTAACAGCCTTCCGGTAGGTATTTTATTTCTGCTTTACAAATGAAGTAATGGGATTCAAAGAGGTCATATATGAAAAGTTATGAATAAGACAATAAAATATTTGTCTTGGGCTGGTGTGGCTCAGTGGATTGAGTGCTGGCCTCTGAACCAAAAGGTTGCTGGTTGGATTCCCAGCCAGGGGCACATGCCTAGGTTGCAGGCCAAGTCCCCCAGTAGGGGGCGCATGAGAGGCAACCGCACACTGATGTTTCTCTCCCTCTCTCCCTCCTTTCCCCTCTCTAAAAATAAATAAATAAAATCTTAAAAAATAAAATAAAATATTTGGAACTTGAAAGTATTCACAGTGGTATTTGGTGGGCTTTTACATCCATTACATAATCCTTTTCATTCTTTTGGATTAAAAAAAAAACTCTGATAAATTAGTGTCTGATTTTGGCCTGAAATCCATAGGTAAAAAAAAATCTGCTTTATCACTGGGGAAAAAATTTAAGGAACTTGTCTAAGTTTGCACATCTAGTAAACCATAGAACCAGAATACATCTCAAATCTGCCAACAGGGAAATAAGGGGAGAAGGGCATTCCTGAGTGTTCTCTGTACATACACTTTTTATTGCAAGTGATTTTTTTCTCCAAAGCATCTTCATTCTTCTAACCTTTGGAATGAAGGGTATTTTATACCATCTTTTTTGGATCAACTCTATCAGTCTATAGTATGAGACCAATCCTCTCACCAAAGGGACAATTTAGGAGTCAAGGGGAGAGGAGTCAAGAGGGATCTCAATATCAAATCAGCACCCTTGCCTAACTAAGGTGTGGTGCCAATGACTGTGGTCCTTTTCTGTATTCCAGATTCAGTAAATGGTCCCTGCCTTGCCTAGTTGTTAATTCCTCTAGTCTTGCTCTGACGGCATGACTATTTTGACCCCTTCCAGTCTTTCAGAGGGTTAGATAAAGCTCTTTCCCTGGGGGACAGAACCAATGGCTGGGTGCTTTTTAAGACCTCTTGTCTTTGGGCCTCTTATTCTTTCTGCCCTTTACTTCTCAGGCCTTCCTGCCTGGCTGATTCATCCTTCTGAGACTTTGTGAAATTCAGATCATCTATAATCTGCTACATTTCTCTGCTTTGATTTCTCTGCAGATCAAAGCTTTGTTGTGACACTTACTTCCGAGCTTCTATGCAACAATGCCTCTCATTAGCAAATAAACACTTCAACTTCAACTTGTTCCACTATCATCCTTTTTGGGGCTATTAATATAGGGCTTCCTGGTATCCATCTTGCCCAAATGGAAGCCCATCTTTTATTCAGGAATAATTATAGATGCAATTTACTAATCACTGTGCATACCCCAGTTAACCAGCGTAACAGATGGATATTATTACCATCTGTATCCAGGAAAATTGAGATGGGGAGAATAGGACATTGAGATATGGAGCAGATTTGGTGCTCTGAGAGCAGACACTGAGATAGATTAGGGATCAACACCTGTGAAAGTAAGGTGGTAGAAATGAGATTGGACAGAGAAAGAAATCAAAGTCTAATGTAGGCCTACCATAACCTTGGTTCACTCAACCGGGGAGCTCTGGGTCAAGTATTACCCATCAGCAAGCCATGTGAGACTGAGATGGCCAGCTCTTTACACACTCTCTTTGCTCCATTAGTGGAGGCAGGCTCTCATGGGAAAGCATGACCTCGGACAAGGTGAGTCTCAATTGAGTAGACACTGAAGAAGTTTACACCTGGAAGCTGTCTGCTGACTACATTTCCCACAGTTAAGAGCAAATCTGTCCTTGAAGAGGGATCTGAGTGGTACATTTCTGTATTTACTGAGACTCCAAGAATCTAGGAAATCTATAAGATTCTATAGCTAATAAGCAACAAAGATATGATACCGAGTCTTTTATGACTCAGAAGTCTATGCACCTCATCAATTCATAATTAGTTTCCAAATATCCATTTTGACCAACTGAATCAGAATCACCTTAGGAGATTTACTTTAAAATAGGGATATTTGGCCTCAATCCTATAAGATTCACATCCAATGTATGTGGATGAGATACAGGAATCATACCCAGTTTATGAAAGTGTCCAAGCTCATTCTGAAATACAGAAACCATTGACACCAAACAATGGGAAAGGTTTTAAATGCTGGATTCCACTTATGGTAAAAGCTATACAGTGTTTTGGGGGTGTTAAAAATTCAGAACCAGGATTCGTCTCTATGGGCTGATGTCTAATGTCAGTGTCAAGACCTCTCCTGGACTCAGTTTCTTATTTTGTGATTGCTGTTTCTCTGATCACCCTGGGGTAAAAATACTAAAGAAAGTGCAGCTGTTACTATTCATGAAAGCAAGTGACTCTGTAAGTGAATTGAAGAATTTGCCCTCCAATTAGTTCCTACAATGTCTGCAAAATGAATTTGAAGATGCCAAATTATACTTTGCCTTTTGTCTTTCACCACAAAATTAGAGATAAATTCATGTTTTAAATTGTTTATAATATACAATGCAATCACTTTTAAGGATGTAGTAAATTCTTTAAATTTGCACTTTTAAATAAATATACACTTTTCTGATCAAATAGTACTTGATTATAATAAGACAAGAGTTAAAATAGAAGCTTTATTACTAGGCAAGATGTAAATATAGAACAAAATTGACTTGTTTCCAAGCTAACGAACTTCTCAGACAGATTTCTTTCAGTTCTCCTTTACTAACAATGAAGACAAGAAGTCAGATCCTGAGGGAGGGTCTATCTACAGTGGGGCTTTCAAGCCCTCAGCTGTGGAAGGATAAAGGACCGGTCACGCTGATAAATGTAACAAAACAGATATCTTTAAAAAATGCATTAGTTGTTGCATAAAGTTTTTTTTTCCAAATTTTACCTAATTAACAGAGACTTTTTTTAATATGAGAAAATCTTTAAAATAGTGAATCATAAAGGTTGTGTGCTGAGATAAATAAAGTTTATATAACTTCTCTCTGGTTTATGACAGTATCCTGAGATTTTTGGCTTATGGCTTATGGCTTTTGACCTCTGAGACCATTTAAAAGGGACCATGAGCCTTGCCCCAGTTGCCATAGGCAGTTTGCACTTCACCTTGAGCACAGAAGGAGGGCTGTGTAAATGCTTTATGAGTATTTTGCAGGATGTTAACTGGGTCATGGAAGTTCTAAGAAGCTGTGTATAGTTGCTTTATGTTACACTGTGGTGGTCGCAATGCATGAATACTTGAGTTTCAACACTAAAAAGGTTTAAATGAGAAAATTACAGGACTGGCTGAGCTCTTTAAAATCAGGAACAGTGACTCATTCATATTTGTGCTTCCAACTTGTGCACAGTGTCTGTTTGAACTAGTGAGTACACAAAAACTGTTTTTTAACCTCATGCACTTAAAACCATTGAAGTTTGGACTTGAAAGAAAATCACTAGCCTATGAGAAAAAGACTGACAAAACCAGCTACTGTCAATGACCACAGATGTCACGAATCTAGATTTCTCACTTGGAATCTCAAGTGGGTGAATTTAATTAGCTGCTACAATTAGAAGCTAATTATTAGAAGTGGCCTTGGAGAAAACAATCCCACATTGCCCCTGCGCTATCTGATCTTGAACTTTTCCATTTCTTCCTTTATTGTTTCTGTTCTATCCAGGCATAACCACATGAAGAATGTTGAAAATGGAAGTTTCCTTTCATTGATATTCAAGATGCCATTTAGCTCAGAACTTTATTATTTAGAGAGAACATGTAGCTAATACTCACAATGATCTTGTTCCATTGATATTTATCTACAGATTAAAGACAGTTGCTTTTCCCTCACCTGTTGAGGAAGTGCTTCCTGCCACTCATTTTCTCCATAACCTCAAGTAAATCTTCACTGGTTCAATGACAATAAGCATTCTGATTTTACCATGACATGATGTTTGGGAAGAAAAATCTAAAATCTTTCATAATGATCATAAAAGAAGTTTCATAATCATAAGATATGAAAAGGGGGAAAATGTATACTTAACCGTAGGTACTTTTTACCATGAATTTCCTGACCTTGATTTGATTAAATTCTCAGGCTAAAGATTGCAGCAATATAGATTTTTTTACAGTTTAATTGTTCATTTCATTGAACTTTGAATGAGAAAAACCTCAATGTGGGGCACAAAGGGTGGTAAGCGGAAGGAGAAGTTAAGGACTGAGCTACTCTGCAGATCAGAGCATTTGAAAGTGAGCACTCAATGTGACAAGAGCAAAACCACAGGATACCACGTACTCTTGCAGTTCACTTTGTTTCTCAAACTATTCAGAATCTTCCTATTGTGTGCTCCTACATCCTCTCTCTTTATTTCACAGATGTCGCTGGGGTAGTTAACCTGATCCAGCCCTGAAGAACTCAGGGGAGGAAGGGGAGCCTTTTGCCTGAGAAGCGTTCCCATCCTGACATGCACAAGAAATGAAGACATCGCCTGCCATGCTTGGAATTGGGAAGTCATTTTGGGTCCTCTTCTTAATCCCACATCTGGGCATCTGGAGTATTGACGGTAAAGCAACTACTTAGATTGGGCTTTGTTTCATTTTCCAGGAGGTGTTGGAGGTAATGTTTCTCCTTTCTGATCTTGTAGGATGTGGCATTTATGTGAAGGACAATGGTAGACAAAACCAAGTGGTTAGATTTGCTCACTGAAGACATTGTAGGACACAAACCAAATTAGAACATGGTGTTCCTCGCTTTGGCCAGTTTTCTTAAAAGATGTTCTGACAGTAAGAAAAAGGAACTGGGCAGATGTTCTAAGTAGTTAGGTACAAATTTATCACCACAACTAGCCAAACTGCTCTGGATGTCACACTGATGGCAAGTAGTGTGTTCTTTGCAAACTGAAGCTTGACAGAGTGAGTGTTATTTTGTTCACTGGGGTAGGATAAGTATTGATTACCTGACTTCATGGTTACTCTTGAATAATGTCGTTAATTAAAATCACATGACTTGCTTCAGTGACATGTGTGCCTGGAGAACACTGATTGAGAAAATGCTGGGAAATACAGGATTGGAGTTTTCTGTCATTGCGGCTACGAAAATGGTTCTGAGCTGGGTGTCGGTTCACATAGAAAACAGCTAGGGTTCTGCGTAGATGATGTTTGGCCACTTCTTCAAAGCTTTGTGCAAGCAAACAACCAATTTCTTCCATCTGGTGAGTTCACTTGCTCCCTTCCATGGATGGACACAGGAGCCTGCATGTTGTGAAGGGGGAAGGGCTATAAATAGCTAGTAGATGTTTTGGATTTTCTCAGGTCTGGTTTCCAATATCTTACTGCATGGTCCCCTCAAGCACACACACTCTCACCAGTTTGTGTGCTGTGGTTTTAAGTTGGAAAATGTGGCCCCTGAAACCTGAGCGAATGTCGTCTTCAGTTCTGGAGCTGGGTGCTTCGACGTTTGTACCCACAGTGCCAGGACAGCACATCACCAGGGGCAAAATATGTCTTCCCTTCAGTCATCTAAGTATTTTTGTGTTTGTATGTTTTTACGTGTGTCTATCTTTTATTATGTTGACGAGGGGTTTAGATGGTTGATTGGATTTTTCACTTCTCATAGATGCCTACAATCACAGAGCAAAAACTGGAGTCAAGTTTTATCAAACAAAATTTATACCAACTTGAAGAATGTATAAACTATTCCCTGTAAAATGAAATAAATGAATTTTTTAGTGCTGTATCACACTGAGATTGGGGTATAACTTCTATTCCCCCTGCCAACGTGCTTACAAAAAAGAACTGGAGTGTTAGAATTGGGTTAATTTACTGGTTCTGCCACTTACTGTGTGACTTTGGTTAAGTTTCTTTTCCTCATTTACCTTAGTTTCTTTCTTTGTAAACTAGAGATAATTGTATCCAAATTACGGGCCTATTGTGGACACTGTAAATGCAGGAATATGGATAAAGTACCTGGCACAATAAATGCACACAATAAAATATTAGTGGTATTTTTGCTAATATTCTTATCACCAAGCAACCCCCCCCAATTCAATTAAATGGACATAAGTTTTAACATTATTATTTAAAATAGTTGAGTTTTTAAAGCTAAAGTAAAATGAATGAATGAAAGATATTACACAATGTATTTAGTCCAAAACATAGTGAATCAAATTACTTGGAAACTGAAATGAAAAGCCTTGGGCAAAGTTCTAGCCAGCTGTCTCACAGAGCAGATGACGAATTACAGCATTATTTGCATTGAATTTAGGACACGGGTTGAGATAAGGAATGTTTGGTGAGATTTGTTCTCCCAGACAGAGCTGATGACTATTTCTTAAAAAGCATATTACTTTGACCCTTTATGTCCTGAGGAGTTCCTGTAGTTCAGTTAATTTTTAATCACTGAATTCTTTATACTGGCACAGTTTCAAAGTTTCTAAAAATAATCTTAATTTTTTTTTCCTTCACTTAGAAGCAATGTGAGATCTGTGTGCCTCTTCCCAGGAATCAGGCTACATTGAGAATAAGTTTGGAAACAATGGAATGTTCTGTACAGATCTCCTTCTTTATAATGAAATTATGCTTACTTACTTTTTGTGTTTCTCAACAAAAATTCAGGGGAGCACTGTGCCCCTCAGTATCTGGCATAGAAATTCTGTCCTGAGGAAAGTATGTAAGTGTCAAAGTGTCAGCACCTTCCCTTCCAGGACAGGTGGGCAGATCATGCTGGCAAGAACTAGGCTGCAGGTGGGGAAGCCCCTGTCAGTCACCTGTCTCGTTGTACTAATACAGTCGGTGAGCAAATACAGTCGGTGAGCAGCTCCAGCTGTGAAGCCCTGGGCCACTTGTTCAGCCCAGGGTCAGCCTGAGATTCTACCTTCAAGCAGGAAGGAGCACTTCAGTTAATGTCTGAAACCACTTGGCACTGTATATGATCCTGAATTGAGGCTGCTGAAAATCTTTTATTAATCACTGCTTATTGTGAGGGAAAAAAATCTGAATCTGGTATGGTACCAGTGGACACCCATAGTTTGGCTCTTTTGAGGACACAGCGGCTGTGGCCAAGTCTCCACCTGAGCCTCTCCATGTTCTTTTTAGTCTCTACTGTGGTAGTTCAGTATGGACCACAGATCCCTACTCCACACCTCACACAGACTGCCTTGCTTTGCCGTCAGCTGCCCATATTGTGGGGCCGGGTCAGAGCACAAACATTAGCTCGGAAGGTGCTCTGCATCTGTCTCTCATTCTTTTGAAGTTTCAGGGTCGTTATCAGGCTTATTTCTTCAGCGATTGCTATTTGTTCCTATTGAAATGGGCACAGAAGATGGAGCTGTGCCTTCTGCCAAATGCCTGGGTATTATCACTCTAAGAATGCCTGCCACAAAACATGACTGCCTTTGTTTGATATGAACGTCTAGGAATACATTCTGCATTACAGGATTTCCTGGATTGTGGTATGAAAATGTTAATCTCTGTGCTGAAAACGGCCTTGAAGAGACTTTCCAAGTACCGAAAAGCCTTTTAATTAACTGTTGCTTCCTCTGTCCCACTATTAGAATTTCCTCTATTGTAATTTTGAAGGCAAACGTAATTTTGAACTTAAATGCTATCTCACTTCACTGGGACTGTCCTAAATGATTTCTAGTACTTGTTTCACCTTTGCCTAGAGTTCAGAATTGTTGAAAGAAAATGTTCACAGGCATTTGTGATCAGGTCCAAAAAATGAAATCAACCTTTTGCTTTGTTCTGTGGAGAGGCAGTGACAGGACTCTAGAGCTAGATTGCCTGGATTACTATCCCATCTCTGCCATTTACTGGTTCTGTGACTCTCTGGTACTCTTTCCTCATGTAAACAATAGGGACAATAAGGACACTGACCTTATCGGGTTGTTCTGAGTATTAAGTGAATGAATTCTGTAAAACACTTAGAACAGTGCCTGATGAATCGTAAGAACTGTGCAACTTTCATTAATAATATTTTTTTCTTTTAGTCCAAAATTGAATTATCTTGAGAGTTCACTAAAGTAGTATTAGAAAACCATCTCTTATTTGGGTTAACAAAAGTCATCTGTAAATAACTCTTGACATCGTTAGCTACTATCATCTCCAGTCACCAAGAAATGATAATAGAGTTTGGGAGTCATGAGACTTGACTTACATTGTGTTATTGAATCGTATCACAGCAATTGGCTTCACGTTTCTAACATTCTCCATTCTCTCACCTCAAAATAAGCTCGGTTATTACACCTTTTTGGTGTCCTCTCATGGACTCTGATTTCTGTGCTTATCCTGTAGAAGAAATTACTTATGTGTATGTATCTGTGTGTACACAAGCAGTGGTATCATTTTAATATGCTCAGAATATAAACATGTACATTTGGAGGTTCACTTTGAACACAGTCCAGGAGAGTGTTGATGGGGCCATCTAGGCCAGTCGCAGGCAACTTCAAGCTTAGCTGGTAGGGCTCTCTAACTCCTCTCCTCCTTCCTGACAGCCACATTTATCTTATGAGCACAACCTGGAACTTGAATACATTGCAAAAAGTCCATTGTCCAGAAGTGGCTGTAAGAAAGGTGGGGGTGTTTATATTCTAGTAGGGTGGCCATGGTCCCATTTCATTTTCTTCTATGGTATTAGAAGAGGAGAATTGACATGGGGAAGGGGGTGATTGGCAGTTTCTGCCCACATAGATATTGTTAAGTATCTTCCAGGGCTTTGAAAATGCCAGTGAATCTCACTGTGGTCTTTGTAGCAGAATGTAAATATTAGGAAGGCCAGGAACTGTCTGGGAAAGAAGTGAAGTTGAACTTACCCCTTGTCTTTCCACCAACACGTAATCACACTTACTCTGAGCATCACGACTGACCTTGCTATCACAAAGCAATATTTAGAAATACTCACATTGGTTTCTGAAGTCTCTCTTGGATGCTGTTTCCTACAGCTGCTGTGACATGCTCTCAGCTCTTGCTGCTCTGCTTTTCTTCCTTATGTCACTGTGACCAAGGTGGAGGGCCAATCATCTCTGAAAGACAGGCCCCCTGTTTCAAGTAGTCAGTGTCTTCCCCAGCCAGAACTACTCTCTAAAATGTCAACATGAACCATTGTTTTTTAGAGCTCATTAAATTGGCTAAAACTTGTTGCTATGCTAGAGAGATAATTACACATCAGCTAACAAAGGTGACTCATCCTTGTCACATAGGGTGGGCAGGACTCTGAATTTCTGTCATGCAGAGACAAAGAGAGTGACCAATAGGGTAGAATCACAAGGGGACATTTGTCACTAGGTAGAGATGTATGTGGAAAAATACCCAAAGACAATTTTTTAAAAATTCTTATCTAAGGACATGTTTTCATTGATTAGAGAGAGAGAAACATTAATTGGTTGTCTCCCATATGCACCCCAACTGGATTCCCCAACTGGGAATCAAACCCAGAGCCTAGGAATGTGCCCTGACCAAGAACTGAACTGGCAACCTTTCGGTGCATGGAACAGTGCTCCCAACGGCTGAGCAGCACAGCCAAGGTGACAAAGAGTTTTTACTCAACCAACACTGGCTTTGCTGGTTA